AAGTAAAGCAAGACTGAAAGATTACCCAAGCTTTGGAAAGCTAGTGAAGAAGACAGGCGAGAAAGAATGAAGGAAAACACAAAAACTAGAACAAAAAAAATCCACTAAAACAAAACCCCTAAATGTTCATACTCATGAAAAAATATAAACAATAAAACAAATCAACAGCAAAAACCCAAAAGGAAAGAAAAGGCAGAAAACATTTTTCTGTGATTTCAAACCTCTGATTATCTTCTGGAGTCTACAGTTTTGTGGTAGTGTCCAGTTCAGGGTGTGACTCTTCCTCACCTTTGTTCTCCTGGACCTCTTCCCACTTATCATCCTGTTCCTTTTGTCAAACTTTTATTTTGTAATTTATGAATACTTTTCCTTACTCACATGAGAGGTATTACACAGTATTTTAACTTGTGAGTCTGACATTTTATTTAATATTGTATTTTCCAATTGTATCCATTTTCTACAAATATCTTTATTTTAAAGTAGTACTAGTAGCCAACTAGTATTCCATTGTGTTTAGATACCATATTTTCTTTATCTATTCATTTACTGATAAATATACAGGCTGCTTTCAGCATTTGGCTATTATGAATTGCTCTGCTATAAACATGGGTTTGCATATATGTCTGTAATATGATGTCATTTGCTCTTTTGAGAAGATACCTAGAAGGAGAATCCCTTGGCTAAATGAGATTTCTAATTTTAGTTCTTTGAGAAATATCAGTGTAGGATCAATTTTTTCCCCAAAGCCACACCAGCATTTGTTATTATTTAATTTCTTGATTACTGCCATTCTCAGTATTGTTTTAATTTGCATTTCTCTAGTGGTCAGAGACACCAAACATTTTTTTTGTGGGTGTGAGTATGTTCTTTCAAGACAGGATTTCACTATAATGTTCAGGCTGGCCTTAAACTCATTTTGTGCCCAGCTGGCCTCAAACTCATGGTAATCCTCCTGTCTCAGTCTCTCAAGTGCTGGAATTAGAGGCATGTGCCATCACACCCAGCTCTGTACATTTTTTCATATGTTTACTGGCCATTTATATTTCTTCTGAGAAGAATTATATATTCATTTCACTTGCCCATTTTTTGTTTGAATCTTTTATTTTGGAGGGCTTAATTTTTCCTAAGTTCTTTATGTATTCTCTACTTGTCCTCTGTCTAAGGAGTAACTGGAAAAAACTTTTCCCATTCTGTAGGCTGTCTCTTTACTCTTCCGATTGTCTCCTATGCTGTACAAAAGATTTTAATTTAATTTATTTTATTTATTTATTTATTTATTGTCTTTTTCCTTTTTATCGGTACCGGGGATTGAACTCACGACTGCCTGCTTACAAGGCAGGCACTTATGCCGCTGAGCTAAATCCCCAACCCCCAAAAGATTTTAATTTAATATGATTCTTTTGATTCTCGTTGATATTTCTTGTGGAATTGAAGCTCTGTTCACAAAGCCCTTACCTATATGTATGACTTCAAATGCTTTGCCTATTTTATCTTTCAGTTTCTGTTTTGGTGTTTGGATCTTTGATCCATTTTGGTTTTAGTTTTGCATAGAGTGAGAGATGTAGGTACAGTTTCAATCTTCTGCATATATATATAGCCAGTTTTACCAGCACCATTTGTTAAATAGGCTATCCTTCCACTGATGTGTGTTTTTTGGCCTCTTTGTTGAAGGTCAAATAGCTGAATATGTCTGGGGATGTTTCTTCATCCTGTGTTCTGTTCTATTGCATCATTTGCAATCTTAAGCCCTTATGTTAGCATAAAGTCATTTTACCTGGCTGCACGTTGGGTCCTCAGGCCCTAGATTCTCATAAGGAATGCACAGACCAGAGTCTTTGAATGTACAGTTCATAGTAGGGTTCACACTCCTATGAAAATCTAATGTCGCTGTTGACCTGACGGGCAGAGCTCAGACATTTGACCAATGGGGGTAGGTATAAGTACAGATGAAGTTTTGGTAGCTTGCCTGATTCCTAACAGGCCACACACCAGTACCACTCTGTGATACATTGGCTGAGGAGCCCTGAAATTAGTGAATTAGAGATCTAAAGAAACAATCAAGATGCTTTCACAATGTGCTGAGCTAGGAACTTTGACCTGATCTGTTTTATTAAATATCTGTGCTCCCTCTATATGTGGACAGTTTTGCCACCTGCACATTAACTTCTTTTTTTTTTTTTTTTTTTTTTTTTTTTTACCAGTACCAGGGATCGAACTCATGACCAAAAGCTTGCAAGGCAGGCACTTATGCCACTGAGCTAAATCCCCAGCCCCCGCACATTAACTTCTATCTCCCACTTCTCAGGACCTTATATAATGAATTGTTACTCTCCTCTGTGCATTCATTTTGTCTCCCTTTCTTTATGTCTCACTCATTTCCACCAATATTTAAATCATGTTACTAACTTATTAAAAAAGAACTTAGTAATCAAGCATAAATCACTGAGAGATGAAATGGTAAAATAGGAAAGAAGGATAAAGGTACTACAGGGATACAGAGAAAAATTCCACAGTGTGTAAGTTGGATTTCCAAAAGGACAGGAGTGAGGATATGGAAGCCCAATATGTCCCAACAGTATAAATAAGAATGATTCTACCTCTGATCACATCATAGTAAAACTATACAACACAAAGAGAAGAATGAGAAATCTTACTAAAAACCAGGTTAAAAAAAAGGCTAATTGCTGTCCATGACTTTGGATGGACACATGAATTTCTAAAAGCAATGATGAAGAGCCAAAGTCACAGAGGTAAGAAACAGAAAAGCCAAATTTGGATGCACAGACTATAGTCTCAGAGCCCAAACTCTTTGAGTTATATTGCCTTCTGAGTACTTGGGAGGACTCATTAGTTTAGGAAAACATCACAAATCAATTGAAATGAAGAAATGCCACCCACATTATTCAAGAATGCCTGAGTGTTCATAAAGTCTTAACTCACTGTAATGTGCACTGTGTTGTCAGGTAACAACTCTCTTATACTCTGGGTACCACCCAAGAGTAATCTGGTGGGCATTTTCCCCTCCAAATCAAACTGGACCAGATAAAGGGGGACTGGCTATCGTTATAAAAGGCCTGAGTGGAACCATTTAGAATAATATTTATACCACTGCAACTTTTATTTTTTTTGGTACTGGGAATAGAACTCAGGACCTCATGCTTTGTCAGGCAGGGGCTGAACCACTGAGCTAAATCCCTGCATCTTGCCACAATTTTTAACAATTCTATGAACCTGGTTTTAAGCAAGCATCATTATGTTAGAATTTTTTGGACAAAATGGTAGTTCTTTTCTTGCAAGTGGTATTATTATATTTTTCAAACGTAGCTTTCTTTTTTAGGGCCTTGGCTCATAATTGCCTAATCGAATTGTGATTTTACTTTATTTTAAATTCAGTTTTATTATATCACCAAATATTTTACTAATCATGTTGGAGATTGTTGTAATAAAGATGTGGTGAGTTTTAATAATAAACTAGAAAATATTCCAAACACAGAAAAAATTGACATAATATTTATCTAGCATCTAGATAAAATATTAATATTTTTTGGCATTTGCTACCATTAAAAATGCCTTTAATACTGCACTAGAAATAATCTATACTTTTTTGTTATCCTTATAATTTGATCATGTTCAGTTGGCTAAAATTCAGTGACTTTATATTTCTCTACCCTCCTCCTACATAATAAAATTTTAACTTGAATTCTTCTTTCTCATGTATTATGATTGTGTTATATTTAGATTTTCCTATATGTTAATGCTTTTATGTGTTCATTAACATATGATCTTTTAGATAATCTTTACTTAGATCTTTAAATATTTGTCATTTTCTTTTCTCACTATTATATCTACAGCTTGATCTTCCCTGATGGATTCTGTCTCCTTCTTGAAATTCATCTTCTACACATAGAAATGTTTTCAAAAAATTAGCCAATACATGAATCAGATCAAAAGAACATAGTCCACATTACTTAAGATGTCTCATTTGTGTATCATTAGAGTGGTAGACCTTGCCTTATTTACCAAAACAAAGAGCACCTGAGCATTTGGGTATAGGAGATAGAGGACATTACCTGACTTTAGTCAGGACCGTGCATCGGGAAGGATAAAGAGAAACCAGGGTGTAAGCACTGCATTCTTTTACTGTGTTTCTGTAACATTCCAGTATCAGGGCCTTCCCAGTGCGAGCTTCTGGCTTCCAGCTTACTTTTACTTCATGTCTTGCTCAGCCCAGACACCTGCTCATTTGAGGAGAGCCCCCTCCTGAGGCAGGATAACCCGAGGGATGAACGTGTGCATTCAGACTCAGGCCACCTCAGACCTAACGCCCGCTCTGCTACTTTGGGCAAGTCAAGTGATCTTGCTTTGACTCAATTTCTCTAACTGTAAAAAAAGCAGACAGTAGGTATCCACATCATAGCTTTGCTGTGAGACATGAATAAGAGAAAAACATAAAAGGCTTAGAACAGGGCAAGCACCTGTCAACATCTGACAGATGTTAACTAACTCTGCTGGTTGTTAATATCTGTGCCACTCTGAGCTCCATCTCTTCCACTGACTGTGGACACTGGGCCTGAATATGATGGTTCAGACTGGAGTTTCCCTTCTTGCTCCTGATTATGAAACGTAATGACCTATGCAGACTACCAAAGGGGTTTTGTTCATGATGTATATTCAGATTTTTTCTCTTTGCTTAAAACTAAGCCATCCCAAGATCACACCCTATAGGGAGCTATCTTTCCTTTTAGGGTTAGCAAAAGTTTGTAGCAAAGTTGTCATTTTAGGTGAAAATGGTTCCAAAAATTGATTAAATAACTGATATAATATTCTCATATTAGTGTCTATTGTATCTGAAGCCTTAGTAACAGCCCCCAAATATTGTAGAATTTGAATTCATGATCACAATGCTTTGAACCTATTCTTTCACTTGGCGAACCAGTCATGAACATGGGTATAAAAGTGCTTAAAATGCCCATACAGATCCATTTCTTTGTTCCTTATAGTGTGCACAGAATTCTTGAACAGATTCTACAACTCCTTGATAGCCAGAGGAGTTAACTTTTCCCTGGACACCATAGAAAAAGAATTGATCAACTTTTGCTTAGATGCCAAAGGAAAAGAAAGCCGTCTGGTATGGTAAATCTTCACTTTTCATTTTTATTGTGTGCTTAAAGAAAACCACAAATAGTTCCATTTCTCATCTTAGACGTCCTCCTACTCACATGTTTGCTCAGGGACATCATTGTGAACAGCACGCAGAAATCGAGCTTATCAGGGAAACACTGTCCTGTGTGTTTATACTGAATGTATCATGTCACTTTGGTTTCTGTGTAAATGATAGGCAAATAATTTTACATTTTCTTAGATAAAAATGGAATAGTAAAACTGAATTCCTAATGAGAATGTATTGTCCTGAATTAGTGGTTTAGACTTTCCATTTGTTAAGTATATCAAAACATGCACATTATTATTTACACATAATTATATTTCCTTGTATTTAGGTGGTGCTGCCTGTGTTTACACATATGGCTTGTTTCAGCATGTTATTTTACATTACCAAGGACAATTCCTGTTTTGTTTTGCTTTGTTTTTTGATGCATGGAACTGAACCCAGGGCCTTGAGTGTGAGCTTCACCTTCACACCCAGGCCAATTCCTTTTTGCCTAAAATGCTGCATTGAATTTGTCAGCTAATCTGCATTGTCGATCACTTTTTATTGACACATTGTAAAATTTTTGTCACGTATTTATGACATCAAATTTTATCTTTTTACATGTAAAAGTGTTAGGTCAGTAGCTTGAAAGGCAGCATTTCATGACTGAGAAAGTCCTGGACTCTGGAGTTGAAAGGCCAGATTTTTAACTCTGTTTTGTGTTGCCAACCAGGCAACCTTAGGCTGACTGGGTGCAGCATGGGAAGGATGATAGTATTGCTATCAGTGAGAATTCAGTGAGGGACTGTCTTCCAAGTGGTAAGAGTAATCCATGCACAGAGAAAAAGCTTAGCAGGTACAGCTCTTCTCACCAGCCTTGCAGCATCAAGCATGCTGTAGGGTGCTTCTAACTAGGATCAAAACTGGGTTAACTTCTTTCTTCTTTCTCTGTACCTGTAATACTTGTTTGATTTTCTTTTATAGTCTTAAGCATTAAATTGTCTGCATTCTCCTTCAGTGCTATTATCTAGGAGCCACAAAAGATGCAGCCACCAAGATTCTAAGTGAAGTCATCCGCCCCATGAGTGTGCATGTGCCTATCATGAAGATTTGTGAGAAGCTGAAGAAGATGGACAGCCAGATCTGTGAGCTGAAATATGGTACAAAGGAGCCAAGTATTTTTTCCAGTGTGTTCCATGTGATGCCAAACTTTAAAGCAGGTCACTATGTTGTCTGAAGGGTCAAGATTAAAAGAAAGGGAATTCTGCTGGGTGTGGTGATGTTCACCTATAATCCCAGCACTTGGGAGGCTGACTGAGGAGGACCTCTCTTATTTCCTAGTCAACCTGGGCTACGTAGTGAGTTCAAGACCAGCCTGGACTGCATAGTAAGACCTTGTTTCAAAAATTAAATAAATAAATAAATAAATGGAAAGGAATTCTTCACTCACCGCTTGGTTGCTGGCTGATAAATGCTGCCTCTTGCCACCTGAGCAGTTTTCTTGAGTGAAGAGAAATAAACAGTTCCCAATCAGCCTCAGGTTAAAACTGCCAACCCCAACAGTGACGTTTAAACTCCTAATTTACCAAGGTAGGGTCAGCCTGGCATCTGAAGAAAAGTTTCAGAAGTGAATACAAATATTCCTGGTGATTTAGTGCATGGTAATCTATTAAGACAAAAGTTTCATCTTTTCAAAGATGTTAGTAGGACTTTCAAATGTGACTATAGTTTTCTTCCTGGACATGTTTACTAATCTGCCAGTTTTAAATTTTAGGATATAGGTTATTTATATCAAATCAAGTTCTGCCTGATGAAACAGTTTATCAGAGGTGCGTAAAATAAACTACAAGGAAAGAAAGCAGATATCCTATTTAAAACATTATCCTTCGCCTTATAAATTTCACATAGTTAGATTCTTACACTGAATATTTGTATCTTGGCCAGCCTTTTGGGTAGATTGAGTTGGAATGATAAAAGGCTGGGGAATTTTTTTCTTTAGTTCACCTGAAACTCCAGCAGTAGAGACGCATTTCTTTTGCTAAAATCATTGTTTCATGTTACAGACCTAGTCTAATATTGTAAACTACCAAAATGATTAGCATCCAACCCATATTATTTTAGTGTTAATTTCCCAGCACAGCCTATTGCTCCATAGCAATATAGATAACTTTAAATAGCAATGTAAGGAACTAAAGATAACCTGTTTCTTAATTTGTGAAGCACTGACCCTAAACTCCAGGGCAGTCATTATAGGCAGGCATCCCTTTTTATTGGCTTTAAGGTAATTAAGTAGAGGCAGCAATCATCAACACCACATATGCAATATACATAAAAGGGACAGTCTCGTGCTGGTTCTTCGAGTCAACAAATTTATTTTTAAAACCTGGTTTATGCAAGACATATTAAAAAGTCCTTAAATCATGGAAAAAGTAATCAGGTAGTACTGAGAAGAAATGAATCTACTTACTGTTAGATTTTTGGTTATATTGGCTATGAGAGACTCTTGGGGAGTCATGAAATAATTTTAACATTTGTATTGACTTTTTCTTTGTAGTTTTGGGATGTCACAGAGGTGTTCCCCCTTTTAAAAAATTAATGTCAAATACCAAATTCTCTAGAAAAACTCAAATAAACTACTGACATAAGAAAGTATTTTTTCTCCATCTGCCGTTTCACCTGTACTGTTCAATAATTCTAAATTTTTCTTGAAAGAATAAGATTGAACTGAGGCCTTAGGGTTGTCACTAGGCATGGCACATACATCTGTAATCCCAGCTACTTGGGAGACTGAAGCAGAGTTATCACAAGTTTGAGGTCTGTCTGGGCAACATAGTGAGACTGTCTCAAAATAGAAAATAAAAAGGTCTGGGGATGTAGTTTAGTGGTAGAGTAACTCTAGGTTGAACCCTAGTACCCAAGAAGGGAGAGTGGTGATTCTCTGGAATACAGAGTATAGCTGATACTCTAAATTAAAAAAAAAAAAGGTTGGGTGTCATAGTAAACTCCTGTAATTCCAGGAGTTGTGAGGCTGAGGCAGGAGGATGACTGTAAGTTTGGTGCCAGCCTGTGCTACATAGCAGGACTACGTCTCTAAAAAGGAAGCCTTTAAAATCTAATTTTCAAATTTGAAAATTTCCAATTTTCCAAAACACACTGGAAAAATTTGACAAATCATCTGACATGTACTAGGATTATAATCCTTTTAAATATTATGTCTGCTCTGCAGAATCGAAAAGGAAAATTTTTGAAGAGAAGTCATGCTGAAAAAACCCTGGGCTGGCAGTAATTATTTCATAAGTCAACTTGAATGCTTCATCCATGTTTGATGTAAACACTTAGCAGTAGAGAGAGCCAAGAGAAAAATCATCCCTTTTTAGTAGTGACATTATAATCACAAGTGGATGAGCTTATTCTTTTTCTTTTTCTTTTGAATGGGGAGATAGAGAAGTAAGTGAGCTCTTCGTATGCTCAGCACATCATCCAAGAGCTGAGAAGTAGGAGTCGTGGTCAAGGAGTTAGACACTGATGATGAGTATATTGGCAAGGGTTTTAGGAACCAGGTTGATGGCACCAAAGCAGTAGTATACCACAAAGGGTTGCAGATACTCACTGGGATGATTTAGGAATCCCCACAAGGCAGAGCAGGCAGTGAGTTTAAGCAGAGAACCTAAACAAGGATTGGTGAAATGCTCTTGATTTTATTTACAGTTTTGATTTCTTCACATTTTTACTGAAAACTCCTTAGCAGTGGTGGTACATCTATGGAATGCATGTTGTTTTTCTTTTAACACAAAATAATTGTTTTTTTTCTAAACTAAAACTTCAGTATTCAGGTTTAACTGCAGTGTTGGTACTTTGCGATAAATAAGTGATATTTGGCTTGCAGTTTAGGCGCTTGTCTCTAAAAGATTCACCATCACTGTTTCTATAGTGTTCAACAGTGTTATTAAAGACCTAGCCAGCGTACAAAGTACACTGTGACATTCTGGTTAATTACGATCTATGGCTTTCAGCTGGCCACTGCCTTTTGGGAATCTCTGTCTTTTTATCTTAGCACAGCAATGGAGATGGAATACTGTTGGTTTTAGGAACGCTGATCTGGAGAACCCAGTAGAGCTGTATAGGTCCATGTTCTGAAGTGGATATAATCCATTGGCAAGAAAGACAGGTTGAACACAAACTAGGCTGATAGCTTTGTATAGTTGGCCCTCAGAATTGGCAGGGGATTGACTGCTTTCCCCACCTTCTGTGGATACCAAACTTCAGATGCTAAGTCCTTTGTAGAAACAGTATAGAGTTTGTGTGAAACCTGGGCACATTCTTCTATATTCACTAAGTCATAGATTATGCTAGATTACTAACTATACTTCACTCAATGTAAACATTATGTAAGTAGTTATTATATTGTATTACTAAAAGAACAATGATAGGAAAAAATCTATACATATTCAGTGCAGATGCAATTTTGTTTGCCTCATGAATAGTTTCGGTCTGCGGTTGGTTGCATCTGTAGGACCCACCAAAAGGGAGGGTTGAATGTACTATACATTTTCCTTGGCTGTGTCTTAGTTTCCATGGAAATTGGAACTGTTGCCAAGTTGGACCATAGGGAAGTTAGTAGCATGTGCCTTTTGAAGTGCTTCTGTTTCTTTTTTGTTTTCTATTGCAGTGCTGGGGACTTTTCTATTGCAGTCTTGTGCATGCTAAGGCAATCACTTTACCTGTGAGCTACATCCTAGGTTTTGGTTTTTAATTGTGCCTTTTTCTTTCTGGTGTTTAGAGAAGCAGCTGGACTTGGCTTCCGTGGACCTTTGGAAGATGAGAGTAGCAGAGCTGAAGCAGATACTGCAAAGCTGGGGGGAAGAGTGCAGGGCGTGTGCGGAGAAAACGGACTACGTGAATCTGATCAGGGAACTGACCCCCAAGTATGCACCGAGGCACCCCAGGACAGATCTGTGACTTGGCTGCTGGGCCACTGTGGATTTTAACTAGAGAAAGTATGATGCTGTAGGCATGTTGGGTGAGCATGAACCAGGAAGTGCACTGTTCTGGGTCTCAGATTCTCATCTCAATACTGTACCTCAGAATTTTGTTAGGTTTACGAGTAAAATGACAAATATTAGGTTTAGAGTGCTAAAACCTAAAGTGCCTTTCTCCTAATTTTCTTATACGGACTATGTAAGTGCTGCCTAACTCCTAAAATGGAGGAAAGTGAGTTGCTAAAAGTTGACAGAATAAGCCAGTTCTAAGAGTTAAGACCACGTACATAAGCTCCTTGTTTGCACAGTTTTAAAATTATATTAGGCAAGGACAAAAGAAACAATAGTAGTAGCTTATTTAAATAATTACTTAACGTAATAAAACAGTTGATTTTTTAAAACTAAATTTTTGCCAGGCGTGGTGGTGTATACTTGTAATCCTAGCATTTGGGAGGCTGAGGCAGGAGGATCACAAATTGAAACAATTTAGTGACTTAGTTGTTGGGAGCCATTGAAGCTGGAAATTGACCACATGTGCAAGGCTGAAGCATGACCATCCCAAGAACAGAGTGCCTGGGGCAAGCCACTCCAAGTAGCTGCTTCAGCCCAGAGAACACCCAGCCCTAAGACAATCTGAAGAGTAGGTTTGCTAGGACAACAGGGTGTCCTGTGACACTAAGTTGCTGAAAGGTATGATAAACACCCTTGCAATGAGAGGCCAGTTCCTTTCCTCCATCAGGAGAGTAAGGCTCCACCTGACCCCAGCTGTATCTCTTCTTTATTTTTTCGGCCTCTCATGGTCCTTCCTTCAAGAATCTCAAGAGCCTCATGGGTTGCAGCACTTATCAAGGCCCTGTCTCAAAAAATAATAAGGGCTAGGGATGTGGCTCAGCGCAAAGGCCCTGTGTGAATCTCTAGTACTCAAAATAAATGAAATGAAGTGAAATAGGCTAAGGAAGCCATGGTGAAGGGTTCTCTTTGGGTGGCAGGGATGCCCCAGAGCAGTGTTCCCTTGGAACTTTCTGGAGTGGTAGGAATGCCTTACATCTGAGTGGGATGGTGACAAATGCAATTATCATACTCACCCAGGAGTACAATAAAGAGCTGAAATGTAAATCATATGTAAAGTTGTTGGAAAATGGAGTCAGAATGCCTCGTTTGTTTAAAGGATCGTATGCACTGCCAAAAGTCCATGTCAGGAGTGGAGAAAACTGTTCAGACTATAAGCATACACTGAAAGTGCTGTATAATGTTCACTTTTAGCAGGGAGTTGTGGCACACGCTTGTGGTCCCAGCCCTGGGGAGGCTGAGACAGAAGGATTGTGAGTTTGAGGCCAGCATGGTTAATTTAGAGAAAACCTGTCTCAAAGAAAGTAGAAGAAGAGAAATGGGAAGAAAAGAAAAGAAAAAAGAAAAGAGAAGAAAATGTAGTTTATGTTTCATTGCTAGAGAGGTGAATGAATTTTCAACTGGGAAGTTAGGATGTAACCAAACTTGTCAGAAAATTAGTGGTCCGAAGGAGATAATGTATTGTGCAGAATGGAACTAAAAACATGAATAAAAAGTTTTGCTGTAAGAGCAGTGGCCAAAGTGGTTGTTGTTCATGAATTCTGTTCCCTTGGTCACCATGGGTAAAGCACCCACTTTATTTTGAATTGTATCTTTAAAAAGCCCAAAATTAGTTTTTTTTCTTAAACTTTATGTAACCTATTTTTATTTTTACATTTTAAATGTAATTTAAAATATATTTTCACATTTTAAATGTAATTTAAAATATATTTTTACATTTCAAATGTCACTTGAAAATAATAGGCCTGATCTCAAAATTGGGTCATATTTCTGTGTCATTTTTTGGTTTATATGTAACTAGGTAATGGGAATACTGCCCGAGGTCATTCAAATCAGTGAGGTATATTCTGGTTCTTCAAAGAGAATTTACATCAGTGCTTCTCAAACTTCTTAATTTGTACATATACATCAAAGGGGAAGGTGGGGGCTGCAAACAATGTAGGTCTGACTAGGTGGGTGTGGGGGATCTGGGCGTCACCATTCCTAACAAGGCCCCGGGAGATGCCTGTGCTGCTGTTCCAAGAGTTGCACTGTAAGCAGTAAGGCCGTGGGTCCTGTGATAGAATTTGGCCTTTGTCAGTCTGTCTGTTACGTTTTGTATAGAGGTGAATATAGCAACAAAAATGCACAAGAGCTTATTCTTCCATGCAGGCAGGCAGCTCACAGAGGTAGGTTGTCCCCCATGAACCTGGCAACTCCCCGAAGCCATTCAGGACTCAGTATCACCTCTCTGCCTCCCGTCCTGTAGGCAGGTTTCATTCAAGTTGGCTGCTGGAATTCCTGTAAAGTGTGTACCACCACGCCTGGATGGCCACTGTTTCACAATGCGTTTGAAATAAAACAAAAAATTTTCTTAGATGTGCTATCATTCTGAATTTAGGAACTTTTTATTATTATCATTTATTTTCATTTTCTCTTTTTGTTTCCATATGGGAGTCTTCAATTTGTAGTATCAACAAAGGATTAGAGTTAGAAAACATAATTGTATCATTATTGTTCTTCTCAAAATACTTATTTTCTAGTAACACAGAACATTTAAACTCTCCAAGACTGTTCTTCACCCAGACCAGTTCCTACTGGTGGTTGGAGGCAAATAGAGTCCCAGGTGACTTCAATGTGAAACTGAGCTTGGGGTTTTCCTGAAGTTTGATGTTCAGTTTTGAAAGCTAACAGATCTGGATTGGCAAGTGGTCCACATGAGCATACCTGCCTGGGAAGATACTCTCAATTCATTGTTTATACTGATGGATAGGTGAGTTAACCTACAATAAGAACAGAAGAAAGAAGAAAGACACAAAGACAGGATTCAGGCCCATGACCCATCACCAAGGTTCCTGTTGCAAAATATTCTGAAATTCATAATATTCTAACAAAGTTCCTGGAAAGGTGTGATGTCTCACACACACACACACCAACCAGAGGTGTATAGTGGCAGCTCTGAAACACGTCTCATAAATCTGAGTGAAATTTGTGACCAGAGGAATTCATATCACATTAAGCTTTGCTGAGTTATATATAACTTAAGAACTTAAGATTTTCCAAACTTTTTGGACTACAGCATCTTGGATGAGTGATGGTGGATGACTCTGGCCTAAGTGTTACTAAACATTAATGAAGACTTTGGGGCCCATTTTCTGAAATTTCACTTCTCATACACTCTTAGATGTTGAAAAGAACCAGGGAGCCTTAGGAAACCAGGACTCATGGTCCTTTGCCTCTGTGTGTGTGTGTGTGTGTGTGTGTGTGTGTGTGTGTGTGTGTGTGTCTTGTTTTCCTGGAGCATAGGGCAAGGTAGTGTTAAATATTTGCAGAGGATATGCTCACCAAGTTGCCTTCCTTCCCCAAAGAGGTGCATCAGCTATGGTCCCCAGGAGCATCTAGCCCTTCCTCCTTCCTGTAGCCCCTGCTTCCAGAAACCTGCTCTCCTAGACCGTGATCTGCCCTGTTTGGACCCTGCAACCAGAATGGCCATCAGTTTTTGGCTGCAGTGTCACAATCAGCTGCAGAAGACGTTGTTTACAGGGCTCTTGCTCTTTTTCCTTTTGAATTTTTAAAAACCTATTTTGGAAAGAACAGATCAAATGTTCGTTTCTTAGTGACAGAGCAGCTATAAATACATTCTGAGGGCTCTCGGGCTATGTAATTTCTGGCAGGCTGTACATTTCCTTACCTCAAAGATTATCTAAGATGTGTGCACACATCCTAGGAATTCCAGTGTTCCCCTCACCTCTCACAGTCTGAATACTTACATATCTCGAGTCTTTTTAACCCTGAATGAGTAAGTTTCCTGTTTCTTTCAGACTCTTTCCCAGATTATATTTGTATGTGCATCATTTTGTTTCTCGGGTGAAGTTCATACTGTTATAAGCACTTTGACCTTGAACAGGAAACACTTAAAGCCTGGTTCAGATTCAGATTCTGAAAATGATGTTTTCAATCTGTTTGTTGTTATTCAGTTTGCTAGTCATTCTCAAACATTTCATTCTACTGGAGACTCCAGTAGAATAGCCTCCTAAATAGCCTCCTTAGTATAATAGCCTCCTAAATACACAAGTATGTCAGTGAATATAAGAAAATGGAAAGAGTGCCACACTGAAATTTGAATCTTAGATTTGCTTATGATTAGTTGTCCTACCTGAGAATGACTCAACTTCTCTGGCCTTTGGTGTTTCATTATGAGAATGTAGCTACTGATTGTCTATTAGGGTTACTTTCAGGATGAAACGACAAAAATAAAAAATTAAATACTCAAGAGAGTGCCCAGCATAGAGTCGACATATCTGCAGATAGTAGTTGAATCTAAATGGTGCTTTTCTTTTAAAGATTTTCTATTCTCACAGCATTCTATAGAAAGTGTAAATATTGGCCTATTTATAACATAGGTGAGGAAGCAGGCAGAAGTAACATTTAGTAATTTTTCCCCAGAAACAGGAATAATTCAGATACAATGACTTCTGGATTGGGTATAATTTTTAGACTGAGAAATGCAGTGTCAACCGTTCAATGGTTTGGAAATGAGCTCTTGAAATGACCTTTGGAAAAATAGGTACCTTTCCATTTTTAAAGGAATTATAAAAATCATCAAATAAAAATGACCTAAGGTAATTGAAATTCAATAAATAAAATTGAGTGCAGTGTGTCATGGGATGGCACTTGTGAACCAGAGATTGGACATCTCTTTTATTGGGGTGACTCAGTGTTTCTGGAGCACCCTTTAATTCTACACAGCTTTACAATGCTGTTGCATCACGTAAAATGCAAGGGGGATTCAGGTCAACTCTTCATCAAACAACACAAAGAGTAATGGGTGTGTGTGGATCTTTTTATTGCAGTCACAGAAATCAGTTCTCTGGAAATCCCTGGGAAATGGGGTCCCCAGATGGTATCTCTAGAATATATTTAGCTCCTAACTCTGGCGTCTAGAATGACGCAACTGTGAACTGTGCTTTCTTGAAACTAGTTTGACTGTTAGTAACTTTCCATTCTATCTTCCTTTCTCTGTAAGGCAAAACAAGCAAACAAACAAATAAACTATATATATATATATATATATATATATATATATATACATATACAAACTAAATATATACATGTACATTCTGCACTACAATGTGATACTTTATTGTTCTATTTTGAAGAATTCTTTTTCATGATTATTTAAATGGTTGGAAAACATACAAGTTGATTTTCTTTTCCTGTTTATATAATGGTGTCAATTATTTTAATCTAACCTATACTTATGGGTACACCCTAAATTATAGCTCTCTCTTCCAGGGGCAGGCAAAATATGTGCTGTAGTGCTTGAAAAAAAGCAATGAGAATATATGATGTGCTTTGGTTAAATGCCTTAATTTTAAACCTAAGCCTTCAATATCATATTGAAAAAAACCCAAAAGGTACCTTAAATGGTTTTACTAATCATGTGGGATAAGAATGATAATGTATGGATAATTTCTTATTTTTTATCTGATCATCACATATGAATTAAATGGAAGAATGTATGTGGTCATGCTATTTATAAATTTTCTTTCCAAAGATTTGACTCTTTGGTGACTAGGTCACTTCTTTCAGGAAGGACTCTATGATACCTTTGTTCTTGGCATCAGTGGCCCTATCATAAAAAAGTCAAAAGCCTCATGAAAATCAAGTACATACCAGCTTACTTTTTGTTCATGTCTGTCAATTACATCTTGTATTTCCAGTCATTCTCAGCGTGACCTTTGAAAGAGAACTATACAAAGTTTGAATACCTGTCCTAGTCAAAGTGCTGCTCTTCCTATAGTTCAGATCTGCCCCAGATGTTGGCAGGAAGTTGGTCTACTGCACCCAGCCCATTTTGTTTGCAGCACTTAAAATCTTCTATGGATGACCACCCCACTGCCAGTCTCTAATTGAGAATAATGACATACAAAGGCAGATCAAAAAGTATGATGTGTGTCTAAATAAATGAATTGATTATAGGCCAGCTGGGGTAGCACACACTTGTAATTCCAGCACTTGAGAGATTGAGGCAGGAGAACTGCTGAGGGTTCGGGACCAGCCTGAGCTACAAAGTGAGTCCAAGGCCAGCCTGAACTTCATAGCGAAATGCTGTCTCAAAAAGACAGAGACAAAAAAAATTGATCAGTACCCTCTTAAAATACTTCCCTTCACTTGTGCACACTTATCCCATTGTTCAACTTGCTCTTTTCTGAAGTAGTTCTGGAAATGCTCTTTTATGAGTGTCTTTATGAGGTGCAATAAAAAATACAGTGAATGCTGCTTCCAAGTGCCATGTAAAGGAAAGGCAGCTTGTGAGAACTTTACGGTGTGTCCTCATCCACCTTACTCATCTGGTCTGTCACTGTGTGACTTCAGTCTCTTCTCAAAGTTAAAATGACTGAAATGCAAACACTTCGAATTGACTCAAGATATAGAGGCAACCAGGACACTCATGCAAATACATGTTAGATTTACTTTGAATTTAAATATTTTTCGGTTTGTGGTATTGAATACAGGACCTGCTCTTGCTAGAAAATAACTGTACCACTGAACCACATACCTGGTCCATTTTTCTATCTTTGGTTTTGACATAGGTTCTCAGTAAATTGCCCAGTATAGACCTGAACTTGCGATCCTTTTGCCTCAGCCTTCTGAGTAAATGGGATTTCAGACATACACCATCACATCCAGCTTCTAAGATATATTTCTAAGTGAGTAAATCAGTCACAGAAAAGCTTGTGTCTTAGTTACTTTTCTATTTCGTGGTTCAGACAAAATACGTGATGTCCAAAATTAGGGAAGGAGAGGTTTATTTCTTACAGGTTGGAGGTTTCAGTCCATATTTAGTTGGCTCCAGGCAGCAGGGTGATGTGGCAGGGCCACAGCAAGCAGCAAGCTCCAACTGGGCAAGAGAAAGACACACCTTCTCCCCCCCATTACAACATACGCTGGCTCCACCCCTGGGTGGGTGAAACACTCCCACCACCAATCTGAGCCCCAGACAACAAACCAATCACAAATACTAGATTTGGTTGCGTCTGTGATTGCATGAGGCTTGGGGTGGGCCTACAAAAACAAACCACAACAGCTTGTATAAGGCACGTTGCCCAGCCCAAAATATAACTGCAACAACATACTGTATGTAATCTTAGGAAAATATCACAATGCCTCTCTCTCTGTCCATAACATGTATTATATAAATTTGCTAAAAGTTGACTTTGAACTATGTGCTTTTTTGAGTAAATATATTTAAAAATAACTTTAAACACATACATTTTAAATAACTTAATTTTAGAATTTGATTTTAAACTTACAATTTGCAGTTTCCAGAATAGCACACGGATATCCCTAGATTCACCATCAAAATAATGTACT